AAGCATATCATAAACTAATTCTGTTTTGGTTATACTGATGTCCCTTCCCAAACTATTGAGTCTAAGTTTCTTGATGGAGAACAATAATAAGGCAATGAGGGAACTTGTCAATCAAAATCCCCCCAAATAGTTTATATGTGCACGTTCCTTGGGGACGAATCGCTCTGGAGCTTCGTTCATAAGTAGAAGGATGTGTCGAAGACTTCATCCCAATTGAGTCCAAGCCGGTGATCTGTGCTGCATGCCATCTCTTCTCTTTTTGCTTATTTTGTGTCACCTTTCCACCGTCTTATCTGCCAAAAACAACTTTCTAAAAAAAGGTTTTAGGGTGTAGTCTGGTAAACCACTCTTTTTAACGTCTCTTTTCCCTTTGTCATGATGCTTTTGATGCAATGTGTGAAGCACTTTGAATTGCCTTGCCTAATAATGGCCATGATTGATACCTGCCACTCCCTCCAATTAACAAAATACACTTTTAATGGTCTCATTATTTCACCGTGCAGATTAAAGGTCTAAAGCTTTCCATGGCCCAAAAGCTGTGATAAATTCATGGGTCCTTTTCAGAAAAACTCTCTCCAAGAAGTTCAAATGAGAAATCACGACAGGTTTGATTCTCTCCTCATTTGGGAAAATGTTTCCGAAATACATTCAAAGGCCTATTTAGCATCATTGACTTGCAGACCAGGTTTTATACTGAACTTCAACAACGTTATTAGCTTCATTCTGTTTTCTTTTAGACGCACGGACAATGCTTTTTTACAAGGTTTATTTTTTGGTACACATGTGCATTAAACATTAGGAAGAAAAACGAAAAGAAGAATAAAAACAGATAATGCTGCAAGGCTACAATTTTCATCAAAGTACAAATTACTCCACTAACTTGCTCAGCTGTCAGTTCAGTTTGACACCAATGACGAGATGGAAACACTTTAACAATGTCAACTCGAACATGATCTCTAACAGGTATATTGTATACAATTTATGTTTAGCACATTAACCCCCCAAGATCAGCCAATAAGAACTACACACAAAGCTGAAGCTGTGGCATAACTTCTGCAGGTATTTGATGCTTTAAGTGTTGGAAGAATAAAAGTTGTATAACTTATGTAGGAGCTAGAGAAAAAGTTGCAGATTACTGAAGTGATCACAAGTCATCCTTTGGGGACTGTTGGGGAAATTACTAAGAACTTGACTTCACACACAATGATTCAGGAAACTCAGATTAAGCTTAAATTGAAGAAAGTTCATACATACAAGAATACTCTGGAGCAGAGATGGAGTAGCAAGCACACGTCTGATGCTGTGTCACTGCTATGCAATTTCCCCCAAGGATTTGCATTATTGCAAATCCTTACAAGAATGCAATTCTTCCACAGGCTTTGCATATATACAAAAGAGGTTATTGAGGTCAGGGTCATACTGACCTAAACTAATCTGTGATGTCAATTTGGAACAGACATTAAGTCTACCAAACATGCAGATATGAAGGGGAAGACCCTCGACACACTAAGTTGTCTTTGCTTTCTAGTCACAGCTGAACTCTATCAGGTCTGACTGACATCAGAGAACAGTGAATAAACATAATGATGTTTGTACACTTAAATCTTAATACATAGGTACAGAAATTCCACCACAGGGACGACAATGGTGTGAAATATTTCAAAGCAGTCTGTTTAATAGTCCAGTCAGGATTACTTTGTCAAGTGAATAACTTTATTGCAATTATTTATATTTGACGGTATGGCTCTTTCCGGGTTCTCCCGGCCCTTTCACGTGCTTAAGTGGAAAGCGTCAGGCAGGAACAGCACACATTCCTGTCCTTGGTGTGAACCCAAATAGAGCAGGCATCAATGGCAACAGCATGACATAGATGAAGTCAGAACAGCATAAAAGGAGGAGCTGCTTTTGAAGCAAATCAGCTGACCGTTGATGCGGCTTGATTGAGATGAGCTGTTACTGAAACTTTGGCATGATAGTAGGGCGTGACACCGCGACCTGCCTGAACTAACGCTACACTCCATTTGTGGAGATTTTCATTTAAAAACAAAGTGATGGACTGATTGCTGATCGAAACCAACTTTGCCATCTCTCGCTTAGGTTGCTGATAAAATGAACACAATTTAATGAAGACAACCGCTTTAGTACAAAATTACAACATTGGCCGTGTATCAGGAATGGGCTGAGAAAAATCCCCCAGAGAGTGATGCGATAATATTTAGAGCGCCCCCTGCTGACTGACTGCGGTACAGGTCATAAACCCTGACTTCTGGAATTAACAGACCGAACTTGGATACAACTATAATATCAAAATGCATGTCAGATAAAAAAAATTCTCTCAAACCCAGAAAGGCTGTCTCAACCTCACTTTTGATCAGTCTAGAAACAGAGGCGGAGCTAAGGCCACTCTCGAGCCGCCTGCCGAACAGCTAGAACGCGCCCACCTGCAACACCTTAAAGTGTTTTAAAAACTGTTAATAATATCAAAATGGATGAGTTATTGAAAAAATTAACATGGATGGAAAGTCAAAATGGATGAGCTATTAAAAAAGTTAACCCATCGTACAGTTTGTATCAATAAAGAATTGCTTTCTGTTGATACCAAAACCAAGTGGCAGCCTGGCACCAGCAGGCCTCATTAGCATCCTGGACAACTTTCACATTCTTAACTTCACTGTGGGCCAAAGAAAACTGATGTTAATGTGCCAGACGACAGTTTGCTCTCCTGTGCTCTAAATCCTCACCATGTTTCCTTTCCTTTCTGCTTCTATCCCTCTCTGGCTGAAAACTGTTATCTAGCTTCCTTAAACCAACTTGTTTAAATTGGATATCTGTTTGATTAAACGCAAATGCCCCAACGTGTTTCTTCAAGATGATTGAGACAGACGATGACTTTGAGCCCATCGCTGACGGCTATGACTACCTGGTGGACTTTATGGATCTGTCGTATCCCGCCAAGAGGCCTGACAGAGAGCACGCCTACGTGGAGGTAAGACATCGAGGAGAACCACACTAAGTACACACATCATCATAAAGCATTGTTTTAACTTCCAGGGCAAAACCTGATGTCTCATTTGTTTTTACAGGTTAAAAATAGAATCGGGGTGATGAGATCAGTGGTGCTGCACGGCCATCTCTGGGACGACCTGTACATTGGCTTCCAGAACCGCATTAGCCGAGACCCGGATGTCTACCACCACAAGTACAAACACTTAATCTCATACACACTAAAGACATGAGCGTTAAGGCAAAAAACACACACAAAAAAATTCCACTTGTAACATAATCTATTGAATTTAAATGTGAGCAATCAGAAGAGGGCTGCACGGTGGTGCAGTGGTTAGCGCTGTTGCAAGAAGGTTCCTGGTTCGAATCCCTGTTGGACAGGAGCCTTTCTGTGTGGAGTTTTCATGTTCTCCACATGCATGTATGGGTTCTCTCCGGGTACTCTGACTTCCTCCCACATTTCAAAGACATTCACCTTAGGTTAACTGGCGACTCTAAATTTGGTCAACTGGAAGCTAATGGAACTCAATGTTTACAGTCTTAACATTCAACGACGTGATTGCAAAGTTTTGCTTGTGTCGTAATATCAATATCTCGTCTGTTTCCAGGTTCTGGAACCACTTCCAGACAGAACTACCATTTCGCAAGCCAGACTGGGACCAGTTCCTGCAGCAGGTTCCAGCAATCGAAGAGCCAGAGACACAGAGTTCCTGTAAACTGTCATGAACATGCTTGTTTCACATATGAAGATCAAGTAACTGATTTTGTTAAGTTCACAACAACTGACAGTACATGCCAGATTATTCCAACGTCCTTGATTTTTTACCTTTTTGGTTTTTACTTTCCCAGAGCTGTTACCTGCCTTGCCTTCTGACAAGCATCACCTCTGGGTAATCCACTGGAGAGGCAGAGTAGTCTTTAAGCTACATCTCAAAAAGTCTGAGTGATTTGATAAAAAGGAATATCCAAATATTTACACAATACACTTTAAAATACTCTTGTCATTTCATGAAGGGGAAAAAGATTTTGACATGTAAATACCCGTCCTAAAGAATATATATATTTTTGGCATTGTATTTAATGTAACAAGATAATTTTTCAGGGGGACATGGGAGCAGGTTTCCATGTCAGAGAAACTGAAGCTTCAGTGTTTATCCAGCTCTGCATGGGTCTGTAAACCTTTCTGTGTTCTAACCTCTCTCCATTTTTCAAAAGCATCTCCAATATTAATCCTAGTTTGAGCACGTTTCTGCTCGTGGAGCTTATTAGCAACATGCAGAGGCCTTTTAGGTCGGGTACAATCACTTCTATCTGAACCACTTCTCTTGCCCGCTTCCATCGCTGCAACACCTGTTGGTTTGGTGGAGGTGCCTTAAAACCCCCTACCTTCTCTGGTCCAAACAAATTCAGAGCATTCAGGAGCAGAATCTAAAGTTAGAAGGAGGACATACTGGCTGCTGCATTGTTGTTAGAGAAGCCAGCACTTCAACATAGCATGTTTCCTTAATGTCTGATCATATAGTGAGCTCACTTAATCATTTCATTCAGTAGATCTTACCGATTGGACCTTTAATAATTACAGTTTGCCATTTTAAATTCTGCTCAGTGCACTATATTTCTTTCTTTTTGCACCAAAGACTGTATATGATCTGATATTACTACACACTGTACTGCCTATCTTCTTATAATAAATTCTGACTTCAAATTAAATACTTTGGTGTGTGTTTTTAATCAGTGCGTTATTTTTTAAGTTGCATTACTGCAGTGCAGAACTTTTTTCTCCCTCCTTTGCCAATAGACCATATCCTCTTTATCAGTTCAGAATGACATCAAGTCAAAGTGTTCCCCACTTACTATTGTAACATGTTATATCACACCCTCTCTTTTTAGCAAATATTGGGTTAAGTGTGAGAAATTGTGCATGTTTGACACAAGCTCTATAAAAAACGGCCTTACATCCTGTTCCTGTTGAGAGTGCCACTTCCTCTTACAGTCTTGTATGAAGGTGGACTTTAAAAAAAAACCCACAGCCTCTGTGTCGTCGCTTGAGGCAAGTCATTCATTGAAGCATGGGGTGCATTTTGGAGGGGTTTCTGTGGGCCTGGATTATCCTGGAGTCTGGGGTGTATTCAGTTACACTGCCAGAAATAACAGATAGGAAATTCATCGATGAATGTGTGAAGGAACACAACAGGGCGCGGTCATCTGTCAGTCCGCCTGCAAATAACATGCTGCATATGGTAGGCGTGATGGATAAATATGTTTCTTTCTTGTGAAGAAGGGCAGAGAAAAATGAGCTCAGACACCTTAATGTCAAGTAGGTAAAGATGTTCAATTCTTCAGTAAGTGATGTAATGTCATGAACAGCATACTTCAGATATGAGCAGAGGAAAAGTCCTTCTCTCAAGAAGTGTTCCTTATGTCAGCCTTTTGATGGTTTAGTAAGGTGTGGTAGCAGCCTGAGACTGAAAGGTACAGGGCTTTGAATCCCGAGACTATTTAGTATATAAATGCTAATAATGAGCTTGTCTGTTGAGAAAAGCCAGTCAGCTTATCACTATTAAGAAACTAACTCTCTCTTACCTTTTGTTGCATGTTGTTGGAAACACTTGGCTTATATTTGTCCATGATTTGATATAACCAGTTTATATGTTTCTGTTTCAGTGAAAAAGTCCAGGGCTCCTAGTGACAAAATGTTCCTAAATCACTCCTATAGGCTAAGACTCCTTGCTGGGATTTTTTAAGCTAAGTTAGGAGCTTTCTGAGAGGATTCTCAGGGCCCTGGTCACAGCAGTGAACATACTTTGATCGTGAAATATTTCAACAGAATCTTTTTCTTGGTGCACAAGCTCCAGGATTGCTCGGCAGAATGTGACCTTATTTTTAAATGCATGACACAAGAGTCAAATAAAATGATGCATGAGGCAAGTACAAACCCAGTCTCACTGAAGTTTGTGAGTCATGAAATACAAAGAACTGATGTTGCACATTTTTTCCCTTTTTCATCACAACTTCAAACTTATGTACCTCAAATTCACTTGAACATTTGGTGCATGCCTGCAATTGGAAGGTTTTTTTTAAGGGCTGGTGTTGAAGTACAAAGAGCCAGTCTAAACAACAGGAGAACTAAAGTCTAAGTTGTATTATTTTCACAGATAAAGGTTAAATGTGGTACGTAACTCCACTAATGTAACTCAACTTCCTTTGTTTATAGTTCCCCTGTTGTACAGGATTGCAAGTGAAACCACAGTTTCTCAAGGGGTTAGCAGGAAGTTACATGACAAGCCTACATGATCAACAAATGGCTTTAAAGGTGCACTATGTAGTTTTGGTAGAGAAATTAGAAAGTTGGAGAAGTCTACAGAATCTGTGGTATATGTTCATAACTCCATACACAAACTATCGTCAGAGGAAAATGTGGTCCCTGTAACACTGTTTGAAGATAAAATGCTACGCGAGAAGTTATGGTGTGGGGCCCTCAACATTGAAACCATAACTCCTGGTCGCTTTTTAGCTCCAAACAGTGTTCCAGGGACCCCTTTTTTTACTTTGAATAAAGTTTTTGTATTCAGTTCATAAAATATAGCATAGAATTGTTTCATTTCTCCAACGGGGGGTTTGTCACAGCCATGTACTGTGTACATGTTGGTTAGGTTTTTGTTTGGATTCTTTTAGTGTTGGTGTTTTGTTGATTTTTAGCTCAGTTGTTTCTGCTGTTGGGTAATCTAATGTATGCTTCTGCATGTGTCAAAGCACTTTGTAAACCCTTGTTTTTAAAAGTGCTATACAAACACAGTTATTATTATAATTAATAGTATTATTATTTAAAGAAGTGGTCATTTAAAATAAAGTTTCTGCATGTCCTTTTCCCCTCTTTGTTCAGACTTGGGATGACAACTTGGCCATTACAGCCAGATCATGGGCACGACAATGTGTGTTTGAACACAACCCTGACCGAGCGCACCCCTCCTTTGCCTCAGTAGGAGAGAACGTATGGACAGGTTACCCACCATCATCTTTCGATGTGACGGGTGCAACACAAAGTTGGGTGGATGAAAAACAATATTATGACTACAACAGCCAAGGCTGCACAAATGTCTGTGGCCACTACACCCAGGTGTGAACACTTCTCCCTGAAAATATTTTGACTGTGTTAATGTTTCCTTCTGTTTTGTTTGGTAACAAGCCTGCATTTCTTATTTTAACCCTTTTGTTGTCTGCAGGTTGTGTGGGCGAGCAGCTACAAGGTTGGATGTGCAGCCCATCTCTGCCCAAATGGTGTTAAAGGAACTCACTTTGGTCCTAGAGAAGGGGTCGTTTTTGTATGCAACTATGCTCCAGCGTAAGTTTTATACATCTTCAAATTTGCTTCAACTCTTAGTTTATGAATTGAAAAAAAATGTTGACAGTTTAGGTTTATAACTGGTGAGGCAGGAGGAGCGTCATAAATAGTGGTTTATATTTAAATAAAATGCACCAATCTTACCTGTCTCAAGGGTTATGGGTAGCTAAGTAAGTTCTGGGCTTTGTTCTGATTTAGGGGCTAAATCCTTCAGAATGCACTTTTGAAGACCGATTACAACACAGAGGCATGTTGAAGGCTGTCCAATTTCAAAGGCTCCTACAAATGCAGCTGACAAATGTGTCCTTCCTCCCTAGACTAACAAAGGATTTATACGGTGCGTCTTTATATCCCTAGAGTCATTGCCCGCAAATTCAGATGAGCTGGCAAACTATGAAGTGGCAAAGTGATACAAAGTAATTGGTTTCAACGCGGCCGAAGAGCTACCAATACGGGGCCTTGACACTTCAGGTTATCCCTAAAAATAATAAGTTCATTTAAATGACGTTAGCTATGTTAGCTAGTTCCGTGGCAGCAAATGTGGTTGCTAGGTGGCAGGAGCAGGGCTTAGAAACGAGAGAGTAAGGGAGGGGACAGCTGGATTAGCAAACGGGGAATCTTCCTCAGACCAGACCATCTTCATTTCAGTTCAGACAATTTCGTGGAGAAAGAACAAAAAGCTTTTTTGATTATATTTCACATTCAGAAGAAACATGTTGCAAACAAAGGTATTGTCTAAAACATGAAGAACAGCAGAGAGACATAGAAATTGAGTTGCAGCTAAAATGCACTCTTTATTTTCTGTTTATTTACCGCGATTCATATCATAAAAGGTCCAATCAGTAAGATATCTACTGAATGAAATGATAAAGTGACCTTACTATATGATCAGACATCAAGGAAACATGCTATGTTGAAGTGCTGGCTTCTCTGACAACAACGCAGCAGCCAGTATGTCCTCCTTCTAACTTTAGATTCTGGTCCTGAATGCTCTGGATTTCTTCTGACCAGAGAAGGTAGGCGGTTTTAAGGCACCCCAACATGGCCGTCTCAGACGCCCGTCGGTTTGCTACGGTTCCGTCGGAGCACTGGTTCAGATAGAAGTGATTGTACCCGACCTAAAAAGCCTCTGCATGTTTCTAATAAGCTCCACGAGCAGAAACGAGCTCAAACTAGGATCAATATTGGAGATGCTTTTAGAAAAATGGAGAGACAGGGAGAGGGGAGAAAACTCTCTCCAATGTTTTGAATTTTGACTGCAGTACCCATTTTAAACACTAGGTATCAGAGTTACATATCGCTCCTTTAAAGCATTACCGAACAATGTAATAGCACATCGTATATTGTTCTAATATCGTGCAGGCCTAGTCTACACAGCCTATGCGGGCTGGTCCTTTATAGTCTTGGCCCTTCAAAGGATGCTACCACCGAAAATGAGACAGAGCAATCATTTCATGTGTGGTTCAAAGTGGCATACAGACCGTACTACCACATGTATTCACTGCAACTGCTTAACAAGATTAAGTAGGCAGTGTTCAGGTATTTATTTTTCTAATATCAACAAATCCCTTTGAACCCTAATCCAACAATGACTGTGTCTTTAATATCTAAAGAATAATTTAACTTGGATTATGGTTCTCTGTACAGGGGTAATGTGATTGGAAGGAAACCATATGAATCTAAAGGAGCAGCCTGCTCTGGATGTGAAGGCGCCTGTGTGAACAATCTCTGCGGTGAGTATTTACTTTATTGATGATGGTGCAAAAAGCCCTGTCTTTCCTGATCTTGGATTAAGCTTTACAGACAGACAACTACAACATTTGGCTACTTCTGCCATTTTTTATTCAGAGCATAGTTTGTATTTTGGCCTTTTGTCACTTGACGACAATTGGTTGAAAACAACCAAGTTGAGGAAGACAAACCAAAGAGCCCTGCCATGATGTTAAAGGTATTGTTATCTACGATTCCCTTCAAAGAACAAAGAAACCCACAAACAAAACAAGAAGAGCATGACCAGTGGCGATTCTAGAGTCTGTTGGAGCCATCCGCAAAAATCACTTGGGGGGGGCCATCCAACCAGCGTTCTTCACCATCATGTCTGCCAGTGTCTTGACACTTACTCCTCTTCACTATAACTACAATTTTTAGGATTTTGGTTGAAATTGTCTTTAGGTCCTGACAGAAATTAATAACTCATGTGCTCTGAAAAAGGAACATTTAAAATCTGTCATCTGTAGCAGTTGTAGCCTGTTAAAATTGTTTACCAATGTCTGCATGAGGCACCAATCTGATGACCCAATCAGAAGCTTCCCTGTCTGCCTGCTTGTTCCCTACGCCATGCATGCACGAGCTCACACTCAGCATGAGCTGAGATTCGCTTCTGGACCAACGGCGCTTGAGCATGTACGCGAGGGGCGTGGCTTTTGAGGGCGTACTGAGAGGAGGAGGTGGGTGCAGACAGATCACTGAAGGAATGCTACTTTCAAAATCATGCTAGTTTTTGAAAATGATCAACGCTGCCTTTAAGTTTGTGAGCCCTCAGTGGTCCCCCTACTAGTCTGGGCCCCTCCCCAAGCAGTTGCCTGCCATGCCTGTTGACAAGCAGCGCCTCTGAGCACGACTCCTGTTACATTTTAAAGTAAAAATTTGTAACATTATAAATATGGTGAAAGTTTTTGTACATTTTAAACAAAGAGCCAAACATATACATCCGTCCTCTCTTGCTCCATCACAAAAGTTTGTCTACTCGCATTGCCAGGAAAAAAATCTAATTAATTTAAAGCAACAAGATGAAATCCAGAGCACCTTCTAACTGCGGGTTAGTCTAAATGGGGTAAACAATTTTGAATCACAACCATGATTCAGCGCTCTTTCTTATAGGTAAAGAATGAAAGATGGTGAGTTGCTGGAAAAGAAGGAAGGGTTGCTCTATTGGCATGGAAGCAATGTCCGTCGTTTGGACACATTTTTTCTTTAGGAAAGACGACACCGAACAAAAACAAGTCAAATGCAAACACTGTGGAAAAACTGTTTGCAAGAAATGCAAGTTATTTATTTTCTACTGTTTCAGAAAAGTTCATTTCTACTTTAAAACTGAAATGTGTCGTTTTCTTTTCAAGCGATGCTTTGATTTCAGGTTGAAATATTCAATAAATGACCTCAGAATAGTTAACCAGATATGCACTCGTTCATAAAAAAAAACATATCCCAGCTTTAATAGTTGAGTATATCTGCAGTAGAGACCTCGTCAGTGAGCTATGGGGGCAAAAAACAAGAATGAAATAATCGTTCATTAATCGTAATCGAGGTAAAATGTTCAATTAATCGTGATATTGATTTGAGGTCGTATCCCCCAGCCCTACTCCGCACTTAATGATATTGATGATCATGATGGTTTGGTTTGAAATTACAATATTTCGGATGGCTTTGATGCTGATTAGAACTCTGAAGAACAGCAGCCGACCTTGTGCTTTGCCTCTGTGCACTTCCTGTCAGCACCTTTGTCTGATCAGACTTAAAGCTGTTTGTTTGCACTCACTGATGTTGTTTTATTCTTTCTAGATTCCTGCTTACTCTCTGATGTACGTCACTTTGGATAAAAGCGTCTGCTAAATTAATTGTACAATTGTCTTAATTCTTCTTTTTTCAGGCAACGATTGGACCTCTGTGACCAGAGGATCAAACTATGTGGCTATCCTGGTGGTCCGGCCGATTGCCCTCATACTCACCTTCGTTGCAGCCTATGCAGTCCGACACTTTTACCCCGATATCTTCTGCTATGAATAGACCTCCTGAACTTCTGAAGTGACCTGAAGGACGTGAACTTATTACCTTAAAGGAAGAATGTGTGACTTTTTGATCCAGTAGATGTCGCCCTTGAGCACCAGCATGAAACCACAACTAATGTTCGCACACTTTTGTTAGCTCATAGCTTCCTAAAGTGAACAAACCATATGACGTATTTAAGTAGCATCACCATGGGGTCTAACGAGAATTCGCCCATGGGATTTTTTCATTGGATTTTGGATCATTGCAGAAAATAAGCTCTGTGGCAAACACACGTTTCTGAAGTGTAGGCGTTTTGTTCAGCAGCATAATCTTCACAGGTGAACGCCATTTTTATGATGTTTGAAGAGTTAATGCAGCCGACAGAAGTAAAAAGCTAACATTATGCTTCAAGCTAAATACACCACGGTCGGATGATTGTGACGTCACTAGCGTTATGCTTCAGAAGATCTCAGATAAACTAATCCACGTAGCTTAATAAATTGTTTACTAATATAATATTCACCTTAACCTAAAGATTAAACCTACAGGAGACATCTCAGACTAGTGAGAGAGTTCCTGGCCTCTGTGTCCGGCGTGATGACATTTAATGTCCCCGACAACCACTGTAGTCACATTTATCCACTTGTTAGCAACCGCCTTTTTAAAGACGAGTAAAAACTTCAAAATTCACAAGTGGGGGTGTTACCTAACGTAGTTTATGTGGTCTAACAAAACACCAACATCTCTTAAGCTTTTGTTAACCACAGACCTTATTTCAGCCGTCTAACCACAAACCCATTCAAAATCCCCATTGACTTTTAGACGATAGCTATAGTAATGCTAACTTACTTCCGGGTTTTAGGACTCATTCCTGTAGCGTTCTATTGCACTTGAATTTACACAGAATGACCGTGAACTAAAAACGCAGAGTATGTTCTTCTTCTTCTCTCTAGTTCTTGACTAGCTTTTATACAGAAGGGGAGGAGTCAGTCGTCCAGTCCATGTAAACACGGCTCTAACAACAACACAGCCAGCGGGACTCAAGCTTCTCACTAATTGTAGACAGTCATGACTCAGTTTGGTGGTGATGGTTCAAAATTACATTACAGTGGTTTACATGTATTTAATACTTGCACTAACCAGTTTATGTGAACTATATATATTCTGCAACCCTGTAGTGAGACACAGCCGCAAAGCTTTGGTTTGCCAATCTACCTGCTCAGTTAGAAGGTCTGACTTCAGTTATGTATAACTTATGAGTATTTAATACCTTCAGATAGAACACATCAATTCCCTTTGCTTCAGGTCACTTCTAAAGATCATTGATTTAGGAATACCAATTGGCAATAACAGCAAACGTAATTATTTGCAAGTTGACTTGTAACAGGTTCAATAGAATAGTGTATTTTTGTTGGTGTGTATATGTATTTGTATCTGTTGCATTATAGATGTATCCCAAAACCAGTTGACTTAAATATATAATTTTGACAACCCTTTGTTCAGCTTAATTATTTCAGAAAAAATACTGTTCTGCTTCCAAAAACACCAAGCTAAATCATGAATCTCAAAGAGGGAGTTAGATTGTTGTTGCAGCTTGGAAACACAGCACACACTGAGCCCCTCCTCCAGGGTATCATCGCCCCTCTTTTCAGAACAAGCTTTAGCCGCATGTCATTTTGCTCATTGTGATTATATTTTCTCTTCTTTGCAGCTACGTCAGGGTCTGTCATATTCGCTGTTTTGAAAAGCGTCCAAACGCTGAATTGTAGCCTCTCTCAAACTCACCTGCGCGTTGTCATTGGCTGGAGGAAACACACCAGCTCTCCGCCAAAAAAACATCCTCACAGGAAGGTGAAGACTCTAAAAGTTTGTTTCAATAATTCTCAGAACTCCCCAAAACATGTCTGTGAAGTTTCTTGTTCTAAATCCACTCTGATCCTGTATTTGATCATGTCTATAAACCCCTCTATTTCAGCCCTGCTCAGAACAGGCTGTTTCTGTGTCTGTACCTTTAAATATGTAAATGAGCAGTGTATGACCACGCCCCCTCTCTGGAAGGGCTCGGGTGGCTCAGGCTTTCTCACTCCATGTCCTATTGTTTACGGTGAGAAGGCAGACTCAGAGGGCAGAACAAACACCTAGCTGTGGGAGTGTCGCCAACCTGGGGGAGGGGTTACTGCCCTTTGTGATGTCATGAAGGAAAAATCTCCAAACAGCCTGTTTGAGCACACATTTTCTGAAAAGTGGAGCAGGCAATACACGGAGAGGATTGGACTTTTCTAATCATTGGGGGTTTGTGGACTGACTAGGGACACGAGTTAGAAAAACATGGTGAAGTGGATTTTACAAAATATAGGCCACTAAAAGAGGCAACAGCTGGTTAACCATGTTTACAATCTGCAAACAGAAATAATGTATAGCATTCTCAGGACAGTACCAGTGAAAAATGGGGTTGTAAAAAACAATGACTTTAACTTTTACTTAAAAGAGACTGGACCCAAAACCTTTCTGACGATTAACAATAACTGACTCTAAATCTGTGTGTAGTGATGCTATCAAGTCCCAATACTGCGACTTGACAAAATAGCTGCTTGGGAAATGTTTTCATGACCAAAACAATGAAGGAAGACCTACAAAAAAAAAAAAATCCAAGTTGTTAAAATCTTTATTTTATTTCACATTGTCCGCTAATTCAGTCCTACCTCCTAGCAAACAAACTGCTGTCTAAGAAAAGAAGAGGAAAATGTACTTTGAAACGTATAAAAATCCACCACACAAAGTCTGGATTACAGTTAGCAAAAAAGGAAACTGTATGATGTCAGTCACTGGTGGTGTGTTCATCTTCTTTGACTGGGGATTGGTCTCCAAAACAGATTAATGAAAATGGGCAAGAAGTCCTCTCAACAAAAAGTGTTCAATAAAAGAAGTCCATGATCGATTGTGATCCGAGTCCCATCTGGATGTGTCCTTTCTCAGTCCAACAAATACCATCTCACATGGTACACATTCATCCAATGGTCTCTTGTTAGCCTTTGTTCTTTTTCTTTTTGTTTGTGGTGGCTCTACCTGTGGGAGGAGCTGTGTTCACTGGTGGAGCTCCAAGTTTCTTTGTTTTGGCTTTTTTCACCTTCTCTTTGAAGGCCTCGATGTCCAGCTTGCCTTCTGTCGGAGCTGTGAAAGGAACAAGCAGATCAAGGGTGTAATACAGTACACAGTTTCGCTCTGTTCTTTAATAATTAATCAGGTTTATTTCCTTGTGTTTTACCTTTGATTGATTTCTTCATTAACGGCTTCTCTTTGGGATGAATGAAGGCTTTGTTCCGCTCTTCCTGCTTCTTCGTCATAGCCTCTGCTTGTTTTACCTGAGAAAGAGGAACAACAAGTCACACCAGAACTCACCAAGGTTCTCCAGTATTAAACTGGGAACACAGCAGAATTATACATTCTTAGACTTTGTGAGGCTACCAGGAATTGCATCATGCTAATTAATATGGGGGTCGAGTAGTTTGGATGCCAATCTTAGAGGAAACTGGTCCAGTTGCCTCTAGATCAAGCTTCAAATTCACCATGACCTGCATTATTATTATTATATTATCTGTAATCTAGTATAGCATGTTCACTGCACCTTAATCTGTATATTATAATCTGAAGAATATACTTATATTTACAGCATCCCATTAATCCACCCATCCATATAAACCCAATAATTCACATGTTTTGTCTACATCTGTATATTCTGTAATTACTTGGACATAGCACTAGGTTCTAGCACTAGGTTCTAGCACTAGGTTCTAGCACTTTCTGCTTATTGCACTTCTGGTGAGATGCCAAGCCTCATTTCGTTACTCTATACTTGTATATGTGTAATGACAATAAGTTGAATCTCATCTCATAACTGAGAACCAACACAGACAAAGCAAAAGGTAAGTGTTTTAAACATTTTTTTTTAAAAAGGGTGTGGATTTAACCACAGTGAGCAGATGCTGCGCTCACCTTGATCTCTTCCATCTTCTTCCTCCTTTTCACACTCTCACGCAGGAAGAACTCTCCCGTGGACAGCTCCTGGTCAACCTGCAGATATAATCAGAAGGAGTTTAGAGACATATTAAAGTCTCCAAAGTGCTAATGAATAATTCCAAACATGGAGACGGTTTTGTTAAAGAAAGCTTTAAAATAACTTTTTACTGTCTTCTTATTTGGCATTGCTAAATTATTAAGCTACATGTTAGCTCTAAAGTAAATAACCTCATGTTAGTATGTTTTTCACAGACAGAGTTAGTCATGTTAGTCATGTGATTTAAAATAAATGTTCTTCGAGGCTGACCTTGCTCTCTGGCTGCGATGGCGGGAACGGCGTGTACTCCTTCTTCACACTCTTCTTCTTCGGTTCCCTGCGCTTGGCCAGGTTCTTGTGGCGGAACTTGGGCAGGAAACGTTCCCAGCTTTGCACCCGAAGGTCGGGGTCTTTGGAGAGCTCCCGTTTGATCATCAGAGTCTGATGACCGACACGGGGTGGTGGATGGGTTAAAAATAATAAAGGTTTGTTGTTTTTGTGATGTTGAATTGACATGCATGAAGCAGAAAATCCGTTTTAATTACAAGTATTGGCTCATGATTCACATTGAACAAGTAGTGAGAGCAAATGATTTGTTATTCGAGTTAACAGATAGAGAACAAAACATTTTCTTTTCAAACAGAAATCCTCTGTCCTAATTCATAGGAACTCGTCCTTCATGTCTGTCAGGTTTTCAAGAAACTGACCTGCCAAGAGCAACGCATACTTCAAACAACGTGAGACTGAACACACCAGAGCATATTTGTTTCATCTCACTCATTCCTTTTTTGTTGTTAAAATTAACATTTGTGCTTGGTTATCTAACAGCGTCTGCCTTTATATATTCATAGAGTCAGTGGCGATTCTAGAGCCTTTTGGGGCCCTAGGCAAAAATCAATTGAAGGGCCCTCCAACCAGAATTCAGCAGGGCAACAAGAATGAGTGCTGTCAGAGCCTGAAGTATGTACAAATTAAAAAATAGACTTTGAATCATGAATCCAGAATTGTTTTGAATCGTAAATAGATTCTCAATCGAATCGTGACCCCAGGAAATCAAAATCGAGTCCAATTCATGAGACACCCAAAGATTCCCAGCCCTAATAGTTTACACTGAATGTATTCGTGCCTGCTGACAACAACACCTTTTGGACATTATTGCCCCAGCTGGAGCAACGTTTCTTGTATTTGCAGTGTTCATTAGCAGCAATACAAAGTGAGGCTGTCTCATAAGTCAAAATATTCAGACGGGAGGGCTGCTCAACAATGGTGAGCAAAAACTAGATGACTACATGACTAGATTGTTGTTGCAGCTTGGAAACACAGCACACACTGAGCCCCTCCTCCAGGGTATCATCGCCCCTCTTTTCAGAACAAGCTTTAGCCGCATGTCATTTTGCTCATTGTGATTATATTTTCTCTTCTTTGCAGTTACGTCAGGGTCTGTCATATTCGTTGTTTTGAAAAGCGTCCAAACGCTGAATTGTAGCCTCTCTCAAACTCACCTGCGCGTTGTCATTGGCTGGAGGAAACACACCAGCTCTCCGCCAAAAAAACATCCTCACAGGAAGGTGAAGACTCTAAAAGTTTGTTTCAATAATTCTCAGAACTCCCCAAAACATGTCTGTGAAGTTTCTTGTTCTAAATCCACTCTGATCCTGTATTTGATCATGTCTATAAACCCCTCTATTTCAGCCCTGCTCAGAACAGGCTGTTTCTGTGTCTGGACCTTTAAATATGTAAATGAGCAGTGTATGACCACGCCCCCTCTCTGGAAGGGCTCGGGTGGCTCAGGCTTTCTCACTCCATGTCCTATTGTTTACGGTGAGAAGGCAGACTCAGAGGGCAGAACAAACACCTAGCTGTGGAGTGTCGCCAACCTGGGGGAGGGGTTACTGCCCTTTGTGATGTCATGAAGGAAAAATCTCCAAACAGCCTGTTTGAGCACACATTTTCTGAAAAGTGGAGCAGGCAATACACGGAGAGGATTGGACTTTTCTAATCATTGGGGGTTTGTGGACTGACTAGGGACACGAGTTAGAAAAACATGGTGAAGTGGATTTTACAAAATATAGGCCACTAAAAGAGGCAACAGCTGGTTAACCATGTTTACAATCTGCAAACAGAAATAATGTATAGCATTCTCAGGACAGTACCAGTGAAAAATGGGGTTGTAAAAAACAATGACTTTAACTTTTACTTAAAAGAGACTGGACCCAAAACCTTTCTGACGATTAACAATAACTGACTCTAAATCTGTGTGTAGTGATGCTATCAAGTCCCAATACTGCGACTTGACAAAATAGCTGCTTGGGAAATGTTTTCATGACCAAAACAATGAAGGAAGACCTACAAAAAAAAAAAAAAATCCAAGTTGTTAAAATCTTTTTTATTTTATTTCACATTGTCCGCTAATTCAGTCCTACCTCCTAGCAAACAAACTGCTGTCTAAGAAAAGAAGAGGAAAATGTACTTTGAAACGTATAAAAATCCACCACACAAAGTCTGGATTACAGTTAGCAAAAAAGGAAACTGTATGATGTCAGTCACTGGTGGTGTGTTCATCTTCTTTGACTGGGGATTGGTCTCCAAAACAGATTAATGAAAATGGGCAAGAAGTCCTCTCAACAAAAAGTGTTCAATAAAAGAAGTCCATGATCAATTGTGATCCGAGTCCCATCTGGATGTGTCCTTTCTCAGTCCAACAAATACCATCTCACATGGTACACATTCATCCAATGGTCTCTTGTTAGCCTTTGTTCTTTTTCTTTTTGTTTGTGGTGGCTCTACCTGTGGGAGGAGCTGTGTTCACTGGTGGAGCTCCAAGTTTCTTTGTTTTGGCTTTTTTCACCTTCTCTTTGAAGGCCTCGATGTCCAGCTTGCCTTCTGTCGGAGCTGTGAAAGGAACAAGCAGATCAAGGGTGTAATACAGTACACAGTTTCGCTCTGTTCTTTAATAATTAATCAGGTTTATTTCCTTGTGTTTTACCTTTGATTGATTTCTTCATTAACGGCTTCTCTTTGGGAGGAATGAAGGCTTTGTTCCGCTCTTCCTGCTTCTTCGTCATAGCCTCTGCTTGTTTTACCTGAGAAAGAGGAACAACAAGTCACACCAGAACTCACCAAGGTTCTCCAGTATTAAACTGGGAACACAGCAGAATTATACATTCTTAGACTTTGTGAGGCTACCAGGAATTGCATCATGCTAATTAATATGGGGGTCGAGTAGTTTGGATGCCAATCTTAGAGGAAACTGGTCCAGTTGCCTCTAGATCAAGCTTCAAATTCACCATGACCTGCATTATTATTATTATATTATCTGTAATCTAGTATAGCATGTTCACTGCACCTTAATCTGTATATTATAATCTGAAGAATATACTTATATTTATAGCATCCCATTAATCCACCCATCCATATAAACCCAATAATTCACATGTTTTGTCTACATCTGTATATTCTGTAATTACTTGGACATAGCACTAGGTTCTAGCTCTAGGTTCTAGCACTAGGTTCTTGCACTAGGTTCTTGCACTAGGTTCTTGCACTAGGTTCTTGCACTAGGTTCTAGCACTTTCTGCTTATTGCACTTCTGGTGAGATGCCAAGCCTCATTTCGTTACTCTATACTTGTATATGTGTAATGACAATAAGTTGAATCTCATCTCATAACTGAGAACCAACACAGACAAAGCAAAAGGTAAGTGTTTTAAACATTTTTTTTTAAAAAGGGTGTGGATTTAACCACAGTGAGCAGATGCTGCGCTCACCTTGATCTCTTCCATCTTCTTCCTCCTTTTCACACTCTCACGCAGGAAGAACTCTCCCGTGGACAGCTCCTGGTCAACCTGCAGATATAATCAGAAGGAGTTTAGAGACATATTAAAGTCTCCAAAGTGCTAATGAATAATTCCAAACATGGAGACGGTTTTGTTAAAGAAAGCTTTAAAATAACTTTTTACTGTCTTCTTATTTGGCATTGCTAAATTATTAAGCTACATGTTAGCTCTAAAGTAAATAACCTCATGTTAGTATGTTTTTCACAGACAGAGTTAGTCATGTTAGTCATGTGATTTAAAATAAATGTTCTTCGAGGCTGACCTTGCTCTCTGGCTGCGATGGCGGGAACGGCGTGTACTCCTTCTTCACACTCTTCTTCTTCGGTTCCCTGCGCTTGGCCAGGTTCTTGTGGCGGAACTTGGGCAGGAAACGTTCCCAGCTTTGCACCCGAAGGTCGGGGTCTTTGGAGAGCTCCCGTTTGATCATCAGAGTCTGATGACCGACACGGGGTGGTGGATGGGTTAAAAATAATAAAGGTTTGTTGTTTTTGTGATGTTGAATTGACATGCATGAAGCAGAAAATCCGTTTTAATTACAAGTATTGAAATGATTTGTTATGATTTGTTATGATTTGTTATTCGAGTTAACAGATAGAGAACAAAACATTTTCTTCTTCAAACAGAAATCCTCTGTCCTAATTCATAGGAACTCGTCCTTCATGTCTGTCAGGTTTTCCAGAAACTGACCTGCCAACAGCAACGCATACTTCAAACAACGTGAGACTGAACACACCAGAGCATATTTGTTTCATCTCACTCATTCTTTTTTGTTGTTACCAGAGCATATTTGTTTCATCTCACTCATTCCTTTTTTGTTGTTAAAATTAACATTTGTGCTTGGTTATGTAACAGCGTCTGCCTTTATATATTCATAGAGTCAGTGGCGATTCTAGAGCCTTTTGGGGCCCTAGGCAAAAATCAATTGAAGGGCCCTCCAACCAGAATTCAGCAGGGCAACAAGAATGAGTGCTGTCAGAGCCTGAAGTATGTACAAATTAAAAAATAGACTTTGAATCATGAATCCAGAATTGTTTTGAATCGTAAATAGATTCTCAATCGAATCGTGACCCCAGGAATCAAAATCGAGTCCAATTCATGAGACACCCAAAGATTCCCAGCCCTAATAGTTTACACTGAATGTATTCGTGCCTGCTGACAACAACACCTTTTGGACATTATTGCCCCAGCTGGAGCAACGTTTCTTGTATTTGCAGTGTTCATTAGCAGCAATACAAAGTGAGGCTGTCTCATAAGTCAAAATATTCAGACGGAAGGGCTGCTCAACAATGGTGAGCAAAAACTAGATGACTACATGACTAGATTGTTGTTGCAGCTTGGAAACACAGCACACACTGAGCCCTCCTCCAGGGTATCATCGCCCCTCTTTTCAGAACAAGCTTTAGCCGCATGTCATTTTGCTCATTGTGATTATATTTTCTCTTCTTTGCAGTTACGTCAGGGTCTGTCATATTCGTTGTTTTGAAAAGCGTCCAAACGCTGAATTGTAGCCTCTCTCAAACTCACCTCGCGTTGTCATTGGCTGGAGATTGTGTCCATCACCACTTTTCGTACCTGAGTGACATGAAAAATGTTTGAACAATTTTGAACATAATCTTTTTTTTTTTTTTTTTTTTTAAATGTATTCAGCCCTTTTTTGAGATCTGATGAGAAGTTCAAAAGAAAAACGCCAACGTTAACGTTTTCGTCAAAGTGTTGCATCTTTTCTGTGAACCATCTTATGACTGATATTAATTAACCTGATAACTGTATTTCATGGCAGTAAAACTGTCTCCTTACTAGCTTGTTAGCCAGCTGGGTAATCAACATGTCCTTTTTAGTCACACAATGAAATGAAACCGCTTCTGTGTCCTTATCTGTCAACTTAAAGAGGACATATTATCCCCTTTCCTTTTCAAACAGTCCCCCTGTGGTCTAAATGAAACATCTGTCCTGTGGTCAAAATAGAACATGAATCAAGCACCAGAGGAGGTTTGTGACCCTGTATAAACCAGCTCTCTCAGAACGCTCCGTTTTGGTGTGTGTGTCTCTTTAAATGCAATGACAGCAGCTACTCAGATCATCATTAGAGTATTTTTTAACACCATCTGAGCTCCATAGAGCTTATTTAAATCTGAGGGGAGATTGTGTTCCACTTCCAGCCCAGGGAGCACAAGAGCACACACACATGCACATCTCACCTCTTTGAGGCCGTTGAAGGGCCCGAGGGCTGATACTGTGTTGCCCTGCACCATCACGTAACAGTTAGTCAACAACTCCAACGCCTGGAGAAAAGAGGGGGAAAAGTACAGATATAACTCGAGGCTTGAATTGAAATTATCTGTTAAAATTTTATTTTGATTTACTATTCAGATATCAAAAAGCACTTTTAATGTGGCAAGTGAGCTTTTTCAGTGCTCACAACACAGATTTCATTTTAAAGGTGACACATTCTCCTCCTCTGCAACCAGTTTAAATAAGTCTCAGAACTCCCCAAAACATGTGTGTGAAGTTTCTTGTTCTAAATCCACTCTGATCCTGTATTTGATCATGCCTATAAACCCCTCTATTTCAGCCCTGCTCAGAACAGGCTGTTTCTGTGTCTGTACCTTTAAATATGTAAATGAGCTGTGTCTGACCACGCCCCCTCTCTGGAAGGTTGGGTGCTCGGGCTTTCTCCCTCCATGTCCTATTGTTTACAGTGAGAAGGCAGACTCAGAGGGCAGAACAAACACCTAGCTGTGGGAGTGTCACCCACTTGGGGGAAGGGTTACTGCCTTTTGTGATGTCATGAAGGGAAAATCTCCAAACGGTGTGTTTGAGCACACATTTTCTGAGAAGTGGAGCAGGCAGAAGATGGAAAGGATGGACTTTTCTCTAACAGGAACACAGATACTCCACTGTATTCATGTTGTAAAGTGAAGATTGTCAAATGAAAGTCAAGTTTTCATTTTTATTTCAGCAGTGAGACCATGACACAAATTAATTCAGACCTAGCTTTTGTTAAAAGAAAATCAAGTGGATGAAATACTCTTTACTCTGTAAAATGACTTGTTCTAGTTGTTGTTGTCCGAAAGGATCAGAGGGTTTCGTTTTGATACTTTCTCTTTCAATACATTTGCTGCCACCCCAAAGCTCCACTGATTGATACTTTTACTCAGCCAGTGTCCGACTCCATAGTTACCTGCTGTAAAGACAAAGCAGGTACTGTGTCCAGTATGACACTGGTTGTTTTGGGAGTGTGTCACCTCTCTCAGGTTTGTGCTGTATTCCAGCAGTTATGAGCTGTTTTTTTTTTTAATTGGCACTCACTTTTAGGGTGGAGCCCTTGGGACCAATAAGCCGCTGCCTTCGCTTCACAAACCGCTCCCTGTTCCTCACCATGGTCCCAATTTTGATGATGTCACACGCCATGTCGTCCTGTAATATCCGCACAGCCTGGAAGCCAAAAAAATAAATACAAAATTAGAAAAAGAGAAAATAAGAACCCAACTACCTTCATTTCCTGGTCACAAATTCAGCATGTTATATGATGCATGTGCAGGGAGTTTGAATTATCCAGACACTTAAAAAAGCAGCGTCCTGTGCTTGATTAGCACCTGTTCGAACGGTACACTCCTGGCAAGCAGCTTGATGAGATCTCTGGCTCTCACGATTGCGTATGGATCAAAGGTTTTCTTCGTGGTGCTAACGGTGATGCTTCCCTCAATCAGGTCCAGAGAGGCTTTGATGTGCTGGAAAAACAATACATCCATGTTACACATTGTTAACTTCATCGTGTATGAAACCACACATTCAAGTTTGCACTACGGGTCTGCATTTCGACTTGATCAGGCCAGTAAAACGGCTCTGACAACAATAGAGCCAGCGGGGACTAGTGCGTCTCACTCACAGTAGATTGTCGAGACACATTTACTGGACTGTATAAAATATTGCACATTCTGCCTTCAAAGTTATGCAATATTTCTTGGGCATGCAAACAGAGATTAAATTAAGTTGTCTCCATCAGCTCTCTGTATTGTCTATGTGGTGAACTCACTGCCTCTCCTAATGCCTTCTCCACAAGTGGCCAGCACTCCTTCAGGTAGGCTTCTCTGTATTTGGGGAAGAGGGTGGCAAAGCTGCTCTCCTCCAGCAGACCGCGGGGGTTATCATCTCTGCTGAAGGTGGGCTCTTTCCACCCATCAGGAACAGTCAGGAGTTCAGATTCATCCACTGTAGTAAAAAACAAACAAAAAAAAAAACAGACGCACCCAGAACATTTAAAGTTTATTACCCGTTTCTTTGCTCATGCAGCTTCCTATTCAGTGATGTCATTCAACATTTAATTGTACTCAAGAGATTTAAAATGTCATCCAGTCATTACAGAATCAATTAAAAGACAGACAACAAAGCATTAAAAGAATCAAAGACAGATGGATACACTAAAATAAAACCGCAGGGATTTCTAAAGGCCCTGACACACCAAGGACATTGTTGGCTGTTGATGGTGAGCGATCGTTGCCCTAGACTTTGCAGCGTGTCTAGCTCCTTCATTTTCAACTTTTTTTGCCAGACATTATTCCTTGATTAGTAGGCTAGTATACGTGGTGACGTAGACCGACAGCAGTGTGGAAATGGTCTTCTGGCGGCTGTAGCTCAGTTGGTAAAGTCATCGCCTTTCACCCGAAAGGTTGAGGGTTCGATCCCTTGGTAAGCAGGCTCTCTGTGGTGGTACGCAAAGAAATCTTCTCAATATTTTTTTAAAACGTTATTTATTTGTCTTACTTATCTGTCTTGTATCTAAATTAATCTAGTTTTAACAACTTTAATCTTCTCAATTTATGATCGCGCACAGACATAAACAACAACAGGAGTACGCCTCGCATTTTGAAAAGTTCCACTCGATATTCCATTATAGTTCAGTATTGAAACAACAGAAAGCAGATGTAGACCTACATTAACAGATATTCTGTTACTTATTGGAGTTCAGCACAGAATCGGTGGCAAGTAGCTGTACATTAAACAATTTAAAACGGAGCCAGGAGATGCTTCCGTTGTGATGCATTTACAAGAGTGTACGGACAGTCGCTCACCCTCCATCGCTCTTTCTCGCTCTGAAGCTGATGTGATTCTGCTCTATTTTGCTGTCTTAACTATGCGCAGGAGTCAAGAAGGATTTTCTTTTAAAGGTTGTTTTGCTATGTTGAACGCCAGTGTTTCCCCTACCATTATATTGGTGGGGGAATATATATATATATATATATATATATATATATATATATATATATATACACACACACATATATATTTTTTTTTTTTCTTTCGGAAATCAGGGAACAAAGTCATTTAAGGATACCTTTTCGATAGAAAAGGAAAGCTGTCATTAAAAGTAACACATGAACACCAAGATTCCTTCAAGTGTTTGTGTCGCCATGTCAGCTTGTCCCCACCCCCCCAACGCTGTAAACCTAGGGGAAACACTGAACGCAGAGCCTTATAATACAGAGGCTCTGGTTGCACAGAGCCTGCACTCTCTCTCTCTCACGCATGCAGCAATTTTATGAATAAATGAAAAATTGAATAAGAACAGGTCGGAAATATACTTGGGCCCAGCTATCGTCTTTGTGTGGGAAACACTGGAGACTAAATATTTCCAAACAGGTTGTTGGTATAAAGTTGTCATTTTTATTGTGCTGCACTTCTTTTAATTTGGACAAATGTCAGTGTTGTTTGGCGTTTAAGTGCCAGTTCTAGCGCTAGCCCTTAGTAGGCCTACAGTGTGGCTGCCAACAGTCAATAATAAATAATATTTTTATGAATATGTTTGCCTCCGGCGTAAAATGAGTGTAGAAATAGGCCTACAGTATATTTTAACATCTACCATAATGGTGGTACTTGGAGAGGCAAATATTTTTGGAGGTGGTACGCAGTCTAAAAAGTTTGAGAACCACTGATCTAACGCATGTGCAGAGCGTATGTTGTCCTTGATTAGTAGGCTAGTATACATGGTGACGTTGACCGACAGCAGTGTGGAAATGGTCTTCTGGCGGCTGTAGCTCAGTTGGTAAAGTCATCGCCTTTCACCCGAAAGGTTTAGGGTTCGATCCCTTGGTAAGCAGGCTCTCTGTGGTGGTACGCAAAGAAATCTTCTCAATATTTTTTTAAAACGTTATTTATTTGTCTTACTTATCTGTCTTGTATCTAAATTAATCTAGTTTTAACAACTTTAATCTTCTCAATTTATGATCGCGCACCGACATAAACAACAACAGGAGTACGCCTCGCATTTTGAAAAGTTCCACTCGATATTCCATTATAGTTCAGTATTGAAACAACAGAAAGCAGATGTAGACCTACATTAACAGATATTCTGTTACTTATTGGAGTTCAGCACAGAATCGGTGGCAAGTAGCTGTACATTAAACAATTTAAAACGGAGCCAGGAGATGCTTCCGTTGTGATGCATTTACAAGAGTGTACGGACAGTCGCTCACCCTCCATCGCTCTTTCTCGCTCTGAAGCTGATGTGATTCTGCTCTATTTTGCTGTCTTAACTATGCGCAGGAGTCAAGAAGGATTTTCTGTTGCTAACACGTAAACACGGCACTTAACCGCCAATATTTAACTCGGCCTGACAGTTTAGGGGTCGTGTGTTATAAAAAGATAACCATAAACTCGACAGCGTACCTTGACTTTTGGTCTTTTTTGACTTTTTTCCTGTTTGAGCCTCACTCATGCCGTCTCCCGTCGAGGAGGACGCCATCGTTGTACGGTAGCGGAAGTGACGTAACTCTTCTTCTTCTTTGATTGGCGGCTGCTACCAATCGGCGCATTATCGCCGCCTACTGGCATGGCATGTTCCGACCATAAACTGTTAATTGTTTTGGTGGTAGCTGGCATCCAAGAAATTGCATTACTACGCCATCTGCTGGATTAAACTAGCCTTCACATTTCTAAACCCTCCTCAACAGACTACGGCCCTTTTCGAATAGCCACAGTTCAGTAGGCAGTACGTACTATTCAGTATGGAGTTTCAGTATACTGAACTTTCGTGGTCATTCAGTATGCATAGTACGTACTGCATACTGAACTGTGACAATTTGGAAAGGGCCCGGGTTTTATGCAGTATGAGTATGGATCGGATGCGTGCTTTCAGGAAATTAATTGTATTTTACCACCCACAATGCTGTGCGAAATTGTCGTAAATCGTCACGTCACGTCCACTTCCAAATCAAAACAAACGAGCATGGATTAATTTAATCATTTTTTAATCTAGAGTTAAAGTCCCGACTGAAATCACTACTTTTAATTAACAACAGACAATATAACAAATGTATACATTATTATAAAACCTTTCCCCCTCTATTTAAATAATCATTTCACTATTTAAATGCGTCTTTATTGGTTTATTTTATATTCTGTATCTTACTGTCTTTCATTTGTACTTTCCTTTATGTACTGTATGTGATTTAGTTATTTAATCTGCCTTTTACTTGATTTACATTGTGATATTGTTTTTTGTTTACCTGATTGTATATGAGCATTACTCTTCTTGAATAAAGCTAAAAAAAAAAAAAAAAAAAAACGGGTTGATGCAGCCGGTTCAGGAAACGTAAATGACATCACTTCCATACTGAATGAATCAGAAGAAGTAGGCACAAATATCTGCCTACTGTGTGTGCATACTGAATAGTAGGTACTAACAGTATGCAGCACGGATAGTACGTACTGCCTACTGCCTACTGCATACTGAAAGATTTAGTATGTACTTGGCAATTCGGATACGGCCCTATTCTCAGATACGGTGGCTGGGAAGTGCAAAACAAATTTACAAAGCGTGAAAAACTTTTGCAAAGCTTGAGACAAATTAACATTTTGAAAAACATTTTTTACATTTTATAAAACAAAATTACAAAACACTTTTACCAACAAAAAAACAAATTTACAAGATGTGAAACACTTTTACAAGCGTGGAGACACATTTACAAGTGGCACATTTACTTTTGGCAGTCCCCAAAGAAATTTACAAACGACAGAATCTTGACGGAAAGGGAATGAACCAAATATCAGAAGTTAAAGTTTGTAAAAGTGTTTCACAGTTTGTAATTTTGTTTTGCACTTCCCAGCCACTGTATTCAAAAGATAATTAAACAGGTATCTGTTATCGCCTGATATTTATATATATTTTTTTAAAACAAATGTTATCAACAAAATTTATTTTACAAACAATATGGCTCAAATTCTACACAGTATCGTAAAGGATCAGGTGCCCCACAAAAGTACAAAATTATGATACGATGAAATAAATAAGAAAATAAAAATAAATAAAACAGAACAAACAAATAATAATTAAATGAAAAATAAAGCTAGGGCTTTTTTTTGTAGTTCATTTTCTTCAATAATGTTGAAAAGTTTTACTGCATTACTTTCTTTCGTAACTTTAAGGGCTTTAAATACACAATACATTTTTGGGGAAATATTTTAATGTTTCATGTTCATGTATTTGCATTTGTGTATATAAAATTTTGCAAGAATGAGGATGTCATTTACAAGAAAGTCATCTTCAGTATTGTCCATAATAAGTCCATCTAATAGATAATGTCTTTTTGAGTAAATAGTTCAAAATGAGGTATCAGGGTCTAAGCCAATCGTGTAGTTCAAGCGAAAAGGCTTCAGTGTAAATGCATTTAAAGAATAAATGTTCTGTGGTTTCTGTTTCAAAACACACATTCATTGGTTTCAAAACCAAATCGTTTTGTTAACAACTCGCCAGATGGATACACTCCGTTTAAGATGTTAAAATAGATCTCTTTGGCTTTGGGAGCAATGTGGAATTTCAAATATTTAGTTATTAGAGCCTGAACAGGGTTTTTCACAGGTAGATTTGTGAAATTGAATTTCTATAAGATATGACAGGTTATGGTTATCGTCTGGTATTAGCTGACTAAAACAAAGGTACTCTCGGAGGCGTCCATGTTGCTTGTCCGGCTTTTTGCCACGTGGCAACTAGAGCACTGTTAACTCGGGTGTGACGTCATTCCCAGCTCTGGATCCCAGTTCCGGGGTACATGGAATTCAACATTTATCTATCTAGAACAGTGGTTCCCAAAGTGATGATCTGCCCTCACTGAGCAGGTCGCAAGCCACCAAGAGGGTGTCACAAGATGCCTTTAAAAAAATATATAAAAAATACAAACTTAACATCATTTAAAAGTGTATATTTTACCCTTTATTGTAAAAAAAAACATACAATAAGTAGTACAACTACAAATGAAACCATGTCATTTAGTGAAATTGAAAATTAATTGAATGTGTAAAAATAGCAACACTGAAGGTGTCTGCTGCTCTTTACACATAAAGATGAACTCACCTGAGTGTGTATTTATTACATTTTGTTTTTCCACTCACTGCTGAAGTCCATAAACATAAATTCAATTGTAATCTGCTCATAGCCCTTAAATGGTTTTTATTTTGTTGTATTTTTGTGTTGTTCTTCTGTGTATAGGCTTATTAGTGTGTGTGCTTGGCGCCGTGCTACATTACATGCCTAACCCTCCAGGAACATCTGGGTCCCCAGTGTTTGGCACCCTTATTTTTTCTTTTGGTGAAAAGCTGAAAAGTTCTGTAATCTATTTGAACTCTGTTACTTTCTCTTGGGGTGCTTCTCAAAGCACTCCCTACAGCCTCTCTCCACTCTGTTTGCATGCTCACATGGAGGGTCGGCCACGTTGAGAGCTGTCCAAATCCTCTGAGGGTGGAGTGAGAGCGGGGTGTGAAACCATTCGATGAGTCTGACTCATCTGGCTTCCTGAACAGGTGTGACACCTTTTATTGTTCGTCATGTGAGATGCACCCCCCCACCCCCCCCCCCCTTCCCTAAAAAAACTGAAATGCTTTTAGGGGCACATGAAAAATATATGGAGTGAAACCAAACAATATTGAAGCCATAGAAACTTGACTACCACCTTGGTAAATGTACAACGCCGCGCAGTATAATGCACACACAACAACTATAATGTAGCCTGTAGTACACAGTACAATGTAGTGGATAACCTTACACACATAAGTAATGGTAGACGAGCCATCAGCAGAGCAGTCATGTTACAGTTCAACAAAGAGGGGAGAGGCTTCACTTAAACCTTCAGCTATAAGTAGTAGGCAGAGCAGGTTTTAGTAATAGGAGGTCTCAGGGTAAACCATGCGCTCCTCCCCATGTTTCAAAAAGCAGTAACAGCTTGTGAATTAAACACATCACTTTGACAAATGTTTTGTCTTCTTAGTTAACAAAAGCCACAGAACTACAGGAGAGACCCAGCTGTGAATAAAAAGACACTCAGAAACATTCCCAACAGATCTGCTCATGACGTCGTAGAAGAGCAACAACTCAAAGTCGACAGGTGAGACTTATAAAGCGATTCAAAGTTGATCAGTAATGGCATTACCTTGTACCAAAATAATATGTATTTAAGGGGCCCTACCTACCTCCTTTTAAGGGGGGAATTTAAACAAAAGAACATTTGTTAATGTGAGGACCATAATATGGTTGTTGGTCTGGTAGCTGGAGAGGTGCCAGGGCGATTCTTGAGTACTGCCGAGGTGCGCTCAAGCAATGCATCAAACCCCCAACCCCCCTGGTGTGCTCCCTGTGTAGCAGTGTGTATCAGGCCCGCTCTGACATCTCTCCACTAATGTACGTCCACAGGTCCTGTTTATGCATGTGTGTGATTCGGGCCTGTGTGTGTGTGAGAAGCATGTCTCTTAATAACAGAGTGTAAAACAGATTTCCCTCAGGGATTAATAAAGTATATCAAAATAAAAATAAAAAGTGAATAATAAGAAACAGGGCACTCGTGAACACAAGAAGATATTGGTTAATAAATCGAAACAAGTGCAATCTTCACTTCCTGTGCGTCAGCGGTGATAAAAGGACAAACACAAAACGCACCATGTTTAAACATCCTTTGGATTTGGAGGGAGTCATTTCAAGGCAGTTTTTTTTTTTTTTTTTTTTTTGCAACTGCTGTCAGCGTGTCGCACCGCCCTGTGGATGAACTTGACATTGCAGACCTTCCTAGGAACCATTGATCTTAGTTTACTGTGTCCCGTACTTCTTATTGAATTTTTCTCGCTGTCTACACTATGTCACGAGTGTAAACAACAATAATCTATCTATCTATCTATCTATCTATCTATCTATCTATCAAAAATAACTTTCAATGAACAAAGAGACGACATGCATGATGAATAATGTTGCTTGAATTTTTCTCAGACTTTCTCACCAACATGTCCTGGGGCCTATTGAGGGCACACGTAGGACAACACAACATCAATCATATTCTTAATGATCGGAGGTTGTGGGTGAAGGCTGTGAGGCAGGTGGTGGGCCAGAGTCATCTCCCAGGCATCCACCAGTCGAACATTAACTCGTTTGAAAATGGTTCTAGCACCTTGTCCCGCTGAAGCGAGAACCAGTCACTGTTGGTCAACGTCTCGTAAAGTGTCAGAGCTTTGAGGTTTGCAGTCCTGATGACCACCAGCGTGTCTGGAGCCCTGTTCAACAGACGAATCACCGCCCTGCGGATGCTCTGAAGCCGCCTGATGTAGACCTCAACTGGGAAAGTGCTCAAGTGGGACCAGATGCCAATGACTACTACTGTGCCGCTGCCGCCTACCAACTTGTCGAGTTCGTTGGCGATGTAACGCATCTCACTGGTTGGGACGTTGGGAAAACGAAGAGGAGGACCGTGGGAGCGGTACTTCACCAAGGTGTTTCTCGCGCTGTCCCATATCATGAAAGGTCCCAATTGCTTTGGGTTATTCCGGTTTATCTCCTTAGCATCTGAAAGAAGGACAGAGAAAAAAAAACAGATTAAGTTCTGAAAGGAAGACCATCAAACTGTCGCCTGAAATCTCTGTGAATCAACTACCTGGCAGTGAAGCGTCGAGGTACTCAAACCACTGCCTGATGGTGGAGTCTCCATACAGGTGGACCGCCTTTCCTTTCAGACACTGGCTGATGGCAGAGGAGTTGTTGAATTGGTGGACTTTGGTGCCACCTAGTGGTCGCCACACACCCTGGTAGTAATACCCAGAGAGTCCAGACTTCCCACTGGATTTATCGGCCGTGGGTTGCACTGGGAAACATTGCTCAAAATAAACTTTGGGTTATTTTACACAGATAGGACAGTGGATAAAACCAGCAATCAGGAGGGTAGAGAGAGTGAGGAACGACACGCAGGGAAAGGAGCCACAGATCGAATTTAAAAACCGGGTCCGCTGCCTAGGCCTTAGGCCCGTGTGCGAACCACTAAGCCACTTGTGCCCCGAGCTTTGATTTCTTTCTTTTAAGGTAGAGGTATTTTCATTCATTTATTTAGATTTTTGTTTTGTCGCTACATTCCCAACTTTCTCAAACACTACCTGAACATAAAAATCATTGCTTGACTTTCATCTCACTTAAATGTATTTGTCTGTATTGTTGCTTTGAATCTTTGCTCATGTTTTGCTATTTTGTGTCTATTTTTATTTATTTATTTTTGTCTTTGTTTATTTGTTCTCGCTTTACTTGTCATGTCTATGTTCTATCAATATATTCTTATTTCAATTTGTTCACCTTATCACCAATAAAAAAAATAAAAAAAGGTAGAGGTAGAAATATTGTGCATTACCTTTCCTTTGAGGTAGCACGGTAACACTGGCCGCTCCTGAAGCCTTAATGGAGACTTTCATGTTGACATTACTGCAAACAAAAACTCCCATGATTAAATATCCCTTACACACACTACAATAAGTTATCCACTGTTGAAGGTGATTTACAATTCTACAATTGACTAGCAGACCCTTTTATCCAAAGCGACGTACATCAGAGAGTAAGTACAACACAAGAAAGGATCTAGAAAAAAGGGAACAATGTCAGTAAGAGCAAACGATCAGCTTTGAGTCCGATTGGACACACAGGTGCTGACAGGAAGTGACCAGAGGCAAAGCACAACATTGAGGGCAGTTCTTGAGAGCTCTAATCAGTATAGAAACCATCTTATAAGTTGTCGTTATCAAACAAAAACCATCGTCATTACCATCATCATCATCATCATCAATAATAATATGGAGACCATGATCATTAAGTTAGTAAGTATTCATGAAAGAGCTGGGTCTTTAGATTTTTCTTAAAGGTGCAGAGGGACTCTGCAGATCCGATGGATGAACATGATAAATGACTCTGCCTCCATATTTGGACTGCAAAGACCTTGTTAATGAGAGTCAACTTAAATGGTTCAGACAAAGCATTTTGAAAGGTAGTATCACTCTTAATATCTTCAGACTCTATCTTTGGCGCCTGTATTTAAAAACACATTTTGTTCATAGTCACTACAAGTTAAACTAGATGCGACATTTCTACTCGCTCTGCTCTCTCACCTTTGGAAAAGCTTCTCCTCATTAGCCTTGAGTCTTCCGTCGAATCCTGCTTTTGTGTGGGTCATCCAGGTATCACAGCTCAGCTTCTTTGGCTTGTAGCAAAACCACGGGTCACCAGTATGGAGGTCGGTGAAGTTGCACACTGGCTGGTTGGTTTGACGAAGGCAAACGTTACAGATGGTGGTTTCAGAGATGGAGCCTGCGCGGAAGACGCCCTCGAAGAAAATCCTATCCGGCTTCTCTCTGGTCAGTCTGTGCAGGACAGTGACAGCCTCGCTGGGGTGAATGAGCATCACCTGGAAAATCAGAGAACACGTCATGTTCGGTTGTATCAGTTAATAAAAAACTCAGATCCATTCATTATTATTTCTTTTTTTGCTTTACAAAAAGTCAACAGGCAATTAGCCAACCTACAGAGTTGATGTAAACTAGTGTTGTAGTCAAGACCTCACTAACCGAGACCAAGACATACCTGAGATCAGAGAGCTCCGAGACCGAGACAAGACCAAGACATTTAGGGATCAAGACCAAGACCAAGGCAGGGCAAGACCGACTCAAGACCAAGACATTTAGGGATCAAGACCAAGACCAAGACAAAGGCAGGGCAAGACCGACTCAAGACCAAGACATTTAGGGATCAAGACCAAGACCAAGACCAAGGCAGGGCAAGACCGACTCAAGTCCAAGACATTTGGGGATCAAGATCCAGAGTCTGCTTTTGATTCCAAGACGAGATCGAGACCTTCAAAAAAAGTGGTCTCGAGAACCCTCGAGACACACACACACATACACATGTGGACACACACAAACACGCACACACACATGCACGCACACACACGCACTGTGAACAGCCAGGTCGGGACAATCTCTGGAGCAGTCCTCCTGTTGCTGAACCTCAGAGCATGATCCAGCCCATCCTAATGTACTGTTCCACCTGCTTCTTTAACATGTAATCTGTTAAAAAGAACACGCAACCGCAACCACAGCTTCCAGAAGAACTGGTCTGCCCGCAACAAACCTAACACAACTCAGGGCCATCACACAATGAACACAATGTAAACATTTTTAAAAGCAAACTCACGACCTACCTCTTTAGTAGAGATTTTAACTGAATCTCATTTCATCTAAGCTCCTCAAAAAAAGTTTGGAAACGTTATTTTGGTCACTTATTTCGCCCCTTTAATAATAATAATTGGTGTTGTATTTTATATCGTTGGAAAGCCTGATTAGTCACCTTTACAATGAGGTATAACTTATAAGGACTGTGCATTCGTGGAATGCGCAACACAGCAAACCGTGTGGGTAGCCCTAAAAAAATGTGGCAAAATCCCCTGCAATGGGGCGCTGGTGGCGCAGTGGTTAGTGCGCTCCCCATGTATGGAGGCTGTGGTCCTCCAAGCGGACGGCCCAGGTTCAAATCCAGCCTGTGGCTCCTTTTCCACATGTCATTCCCTTCTCTCTCTCCCTGATTTCCAGCTCTATCCACTGTCCTATCTCTCCATTAAAGGCACAAAACGCCCAAAAATAAATCTTCAAATAAAAGAAAAGAAAATCCCCTGCAATGTTCTTCTGTTGGTATTCACTCCTGTTTTGAGCTACAAGTCCTGCCGGGTGTGTGCCAGTTACGGGTGTATGACTGACACCTAATTGACAGCACTTGTGGGATCATCTTGGGCGTGCTGTTCATGCCAGAGTGACCAACACAACCACGCTGGTTGACCTTCAACAACTCCTGGTTGAGGAATGGGATGCCATCCCACAGCAGAATGTGACCAGACTGGTGACCAACATGAGGAGGAGGGGCCAAGCTGTTGTGGCCTCGTATGGATCATCCACACGCTACTGAGGTCCCTGACAGTGTAAAATGAATAAAGTGTAAAAAATGTATTACTGTGGGAGAGTGCAATCATCAATTCCACCAAGAAACTCAAAACAGGAGTGAATACCAACAGAAGAACACTGCAGGGGATTCTGCACATTTTTTTAGGGCGCTACCCACACGTTTAGCTGTGTTGCTCAATTCACGAATGTACGATCCTTATAAGTTATACCTCGTTGTAAAGGTGACTAATCAGGCTTTCCAACAATATAAAATACAACACCAATTAGTATTATTAAAGTGGTGAAATAATTGACCAAAACAATGTTTCCAAACTTTTTTTGAGGAGTTTAGTTTTATTACATTTTGAACCTCCTGTGTTTCCTCAGTACCTGTTCTTATCTAGTTATTTTTACCTTAGTTTTTAGATTGTGGGGTAGGGGTGGGGGAGGGAGTCATGTTGTTGCTGTTTGAATAAATGTTGATGTAAAGCACTTTGGGATACATTTGTTATATGAAAAGTGCTATACAAATAAAGTTTGATTGATTGATCACACGCGTTGCAATGCGAGGTTTCTTTGCTCAGAGCACATGGGTTACTAATTTCTGTCAGGACCTAAAAACAATTTGAACCAAAATCTTAAGAAGTGTTTCTGGAGAAAAAAACCAACCCTGCCTTTTAAATGCCATGCTCCTTATTACACTTATTTAAGGCCTTCATACAATTTTAACTGGTGAGTTATAGAATTCTCTTCACACATCTGAACTGGGGAATAGCCCATAGAAACAAAAACAAACTTGGAAACAACTGGAAACATGTTTATTTGGGTTGCAGTCTGGTATTTCATTAGATGGATATGGGAGACTGCTTCAAGTGGCGATATGATGAACTGCAGTTTTTAGAAACTTCCAAGATTACTTCTTTTCTAACTTTGAGGTCTGCTGTTTCTGGGGGTAAATCAGGAGGGACATATTTGGATTTCTGTTCTAAAAACATACAGTACAAAACATTGCATGGCCTTTTCCCATCACCCACAGTATACAATAACATTTTAGTTAGAAAGCCTCACGCTTTACCTCAACCTGTGCGCTTCCCTCCCAGAACAACGTGAAGACAGCAGAGTAGGAGCCGTTCAGGTGATCCACCACTCGCCCGGCCACACCTGTTCCGAGTTTGGCATTGTGCAACGAGGCGACTAAGACGTCTCCTCCAGACTTCTTAGGGTTACCTTGGAAGTCTTTGATTTGTATCATAACCTCCAGCTGGTCTCCTACATGCCACTCTCCTCCACTCCTCTCAGAAAGAACGGTGAAGGTGCTGTGAGCGGGATCGCTTGTGTGATTCAATGAAAGAGGAGTCGGCAGAAGTGGAGTTTCAGGCCAAGCAATGGAGTCCATTAAGAGGCGTTCCTCCAGAGTCTCCACAGGAGACATCGATTCAAGGCTGCAGAAGTGACGAGGCACGTGTGGTTTAGAGGTCAGGTTCTCGAGGTGGACGGCGGGGTTTTCTTTATTCTGTAACTGGCAGGGGGGATAAGAGAGAAAGGCGCGTCAGTTTCCTGTCATCTGATTTACATCAAACATTTGCCACAGGGTCCAGTGGAGGTTCTAGACTCACTTTTACTGAGGGGGCCAAACTGGGGCCAGTTGTTTTGTCAGAGGGGAACATTAAACCCAGGTGAAAAATAGATAAAGATGGCCGCTTTAAAAAAAATATATATATAATATGCCAAAAAAATAGCGCACATCATTAAATACCATGATTGATATTTGTTTCAGTAACAGTATTTAATACTAGATTGTGAGTCTGATTGTTGAGTCAAATACTGTGTATATGTTATGAGGGGGGGCTCTTCCTTTTGGAGGGGTGGCCACAGGGGGGACCAAGCTCAGTGTTACAGGGGCACTGGCCCCTGTTGGCCCCTGCCTAGAACCGCCCATGACAGGATCAACCTTTAAAGTGTTCCCACTAACACCAAGTCCTCACCTTCAGTAGGTCCTTTTTATACGGATTAAAGATGGAGACAAGCACAGCCAGGAAAAGAAGGACGATGCAGCCTTTCACAAGGTTTTTGTTGACCATCCGTCTCATCCAAGATACCAGCGTCATGATTGGTCCTCCTGGGTTACTGGATTGAAAAACAAATGTAAAAAATAAAAACATCATCTAGGGTCAACTGACTCCCTGTCAATCACACTTGTAAGAGTAAAAACAACAACGATAATCGGCTCTAAGTAGTGGAGCAGGTGTTTGAATGTGTTCATATTTACTTATCATTTGTTTGATTTATACCCGAGTCATTTCTTTTCATGGTTGTGCCTTCTCCCATACCAACAGTCAGAAGAGCAGAGGAGAGATTCAGCAGGTTGTTGAATAACTGGCTTACAACTGCATGTAATGCCCATTCAGTGAATTTTATTAACAATTTTAACATTTTCTGGGAACGCAGACATCTTTTTAAGGCAGATCGATTTTGCCTGAACATGTCAGGGGTGAAACTGTTCACCTCTAACCTATTTTACTCCCTGCCTCAACCATCAGTTCTCTCTGCCAAGGACAAGAGACAAAAGAAAACAGCTTTCAAGAAAGACAAAACACAGCGGGATGAAAACCTTTGTCAAGAATCACGTCTGCCAGTATCTGAGGAGAGACCTAAAGAGGAGGGGTCTCCATCCACCTTCGACCCCCTCACCAACACCAACACCAACACCTGTGAAGTCTCACTACCCTTGCCCCCTCGAACCCCAATCAGATCATCATCTCCCTCCTCCCCCCACCTGGAGTTCATTGACCAGATGAAGGAGCTGGTCAATGCTGGATTGAAAAGTACCCCCCGGCCCTTCTCCCTTTTTCTCTTCCATAAACACCCAACGGCGGCCATCATTGCCCATTCCGAGACGGCTCTCACCACCCCCCCCCCCCCCCCCCCGTCCCCCGTCCCTCCGCGGGTGCGTCATGTTTTGTCTCCTCAGCTCTTGATAATGATGAAATGCAGAACATTCAGAGGTCAAACTGATGTGTTTTAGGTCCAGGCTATCAGCAGTCATGACTCTCTCCAGGCCCTGCACATCAGTAGGTTCCAAAATCTCTGTGATGATAGGTAATAGAAGAATAAAGGGGACTCTGCCAAGAAACAAAAGGCAGTTATGTAATGCAAACTTGTCAAACTTAGCATCCATTCCTTTTGAGCCACAACCTGTCCCAAAAACATTAGCAGATGAAGCTTCTAGGACCCTAAAGCTGGCTCTACTAAACATTAGATCACTGGCAGGGAAATCATTTTTAATCAATGATTTTATTACTGAGCTTCATTTTATGTTTTTAACTGAAACTTGGTTAGATCAAAATAACAGTGCAGCTGTTCTTATCGAGTCAACCCCTCCCAACTTCAGTTTTGTAAGCGAGGCTAGAGTGCATAAGAGAGGAGGAGGAGTTGCAGTTTTGTTTAATGATTCCTTCCAATGTAAGCAATTATCTTTTGGAAATTTTCAATCCACCCCCAGAGCCATGTTCTTAAATATTTACAGGCCACCTGAATACTGTGCAAACTTTTTCAATGATTTCACTGAACTGCTGTCTGTGATCTGTATTGAGTTTGACTGTGTTATTATTGTTGTTGATTTTAACATCCATGTTGATAACCCCCAGGACAGAGGGACTAAAGATCTGTTTCACACTCTTGATAGCTTTGGGCTGACTCAGCACGTGACAGAGCCCACACACAACAGAGGGCACACTCTGGACTTAATCATCTCCAAGGGCTTGGACATCTCCAAGGTTGTTGTTTCAGATGTTGCCCTCTCTGATCACTCCTGTGTTTTAGTACTATGTCAGTGTACAAAAGTATTCAAACAAAAGTGATTACAAAACAGTGTATCACTGAAAACACCAGTGAAATATTTAACCAGGTTTTCTCTTCCACAGCTGCCCTGTCCTGGGGCTCAGTCAGTGAGTTGGTAGATAACTTCAATTCTAAAATCACAAATGTTATTGATTCCATTGCTCCCACTAAGTAGAAGGTTGTCTCTGGTAAGAAAAAATCTCCATGGAGAAATTCGACACTGGTAAGAAACAGAAAAAGAGATAGTCGAAAAGCTGAACGCAGGTGGCGTAAAACTAATCCCCAGATTCATTATGACATCTACAAAGAGAGACTTCACACTTATAATTCACAACTGAGGACTGCAAGGCAATCTTTCTTCTCTGATATCATCACCAAAAACAATAATAATGCTTGTGCCCTGTTTGCTACTGTCGACAGGCTAACAAACCCTCCTGTGTCAAGAGCATCTGAATTTCATTCTACCAGGGCCTGTAATATATTTTCCACCTTTACTGAAAAAATCCACAAAATTAGACAAACTGTCAGTAACTCATCATCAGGATCAGGATATGTGCTGTGTCCATTTATAACCAACTTAAGCACCATGAGACAATTTAATCAAATCAACCTTAAAAACCTGGAGGACATTATAAAACAATTAAATTCCTCCTCCTGCTGTCTTGATATTCTGCAAACAGGTTTTTGCAAAAAAGTCTCCCAAGTCATGGCTCCAGATCTGTTACAAATTGTAAACCTGTCTCTTCTCTCAGGTGTCTTCCCACAGGCCGTGAAAACAGCTGTCATCAAACCACTATTAAAAAAGAACAATCTAGACAAGTCAAAAATAAACAATTACAGGCCTATATCAAATCTTCCTTTTTTAAGTAAAATAATCAAAAAAGCTGTTTTTCAACAGTTAAATAACTTCTTCACATTGAGCGACTGTTTCGATGTCTTCCAGTCAGGTTTTAGACAAAATCACAGCACTGAGACAGCTCTGGTTAAAGTGTTTAATGACATCCGTTTAAACACAGACAGTGGCAGAACCTCAGTCTTAGTTTTACTTGATTTCAGTGCTGCGTTCGACACAGTTGACCACAATATATTACTCGACCGACTGGAAAACTTGGTGGGAGTTTCTGGCACAGTACTAAACTGGTTTAAATCCTACTTAAAGGACAGGGACTTCTTCGTGTCTATAGGTAACTTCAAATCTGAGCAAACAAAAATTACTTGTGGAGTTCCCCAAGGTTCCATCCTGGGGCCTCTTCTGTTTAACCTCTACATGCTCCCACTAGCTCAGATTATAAAAAACAATAAAATAAGTTATCATAACTACGCAGACGACACACAAATATATATTACAATGTCGCCAGGCAACCATGGTCCCATAAAAGCACTGGGTAAATGCATAGAACAAATCAATGAGTGGATGTGCAAAAATTTTCTCCAGCTAAACAAAGACAAAACTGAGGTTGTTGTTTTTGGAGCAAAGGAGGAGCGACTAAGAGTCAGCATGCAGCTTCAGTCAGTAAGATTTAAAACCACAGACCAGGCAAGAAATCTGGGCGTAGTGATGGACTCAGACCTCAATTTTAAAAGCCACATTAAGACAATCACAAAGTCAGCCTACTATCGCCTGAAGAACATATCAAGAATTAGAGGACTTATGTCCCAGCAGGACCTGGAAAAACTTGTCCATGCTTTTATCTTCAGTCATCTTGATTACTGCAACAGTGTCTTTACAGGTTTGCCTAAAACAAAAAATCAGTCAGACAACTGCAGCTGATCCAGAATGCTGCTGCTAGAGTCCTCACCAAAACCAAGAAAATGGATCACATCAGTCCAGTTCTGAGGTCTTTACACTGGCTCCCAGTCTGTCATAGAATAGACTTTAAAATCCTGTTGCTGGTTTATAAAGCGCTTAAAGGTTTAGGGCCAAAATACATTAGTGACCTCCTGATTAATTATGAACCATCCAGACCGCTCAGGTCGTCTGGGACAGGTCTGCTCTCTGAGTCAGAACCAAACATGGAGAAGCAGCGTTCAGTTTCTATGCTCCTTATATCTGGAACAAACTCCCAGAAAACTGCAGGTCTGCTGAAACTCTCAGCTCTTTTAAATCCAGGTTGAAGACACACCTGTTTACAGCTGCCTTTCATTAAACAATTTTAATAAGATTTTAAATTTTAACTCTGCACTTTAACTTTTTTTATATTTTTACTTTATTTAAATTAATTTCATTTGAATTATTTGTATATGAACATGTTCAGATTTAATAATTCCAGTGATTTTTTCTATTTTCTATTTTAATGTTTCTTTTCATTCCTCTGTCATGATGCTTTTGATGTCTTGTGTGAAACACTTTGAAATGTGCTATATAAATAAACTTGCCTTGCCTTGCCTTCTCTCAGAAAAGGAATGATCAGATGTGCCTTTGTTGAATGGGGATGCAGAAAAGTCGATTTGTTTATTGATTTGAATGAAGTTTATATTTGTACAAAACAAGGAATGACGCAAGTTTAATTTTGCATAAATGGAAATAATGATTCAAAGTTTTCCTAATGGACGCAGGACTAGGGACATGTAAAGAAAAGATCTAAAATTTCTAGATTAAACTCTTCAATTTATGAGAATAAAGTTGTACTGCTGTGTTGGGGTGGCAGCATCTGTGTGGATGATAAAAACAGGATCAATAAGCTGATTAAAAAAGCAAATGAGGACCAAACTTAAAACTGTTTTGATCTTTGTAGGCAATCCTTTACACAGTGTTTTAACGGACTCCGAGGCTCCGTCAGTGAGCGATTAGTGATGCCACAATTTTCCACTGAACGGTTCAGGAGCTCTTTTGTTCCTGCAGCAGTCCCATATTTGAATGAACATTTTTAATTGTGTTTCTGACTCATGGCTTTACATGATTATTCAAATGGTTTCAGTGGTGTTTGTTATTTGTTTACTTGTGTACTGTGATGTACTGTCGATATTGTTTGTTGTGTTTATGAACTGACCAGGTGACAAATGAGTTTCCCCGATGGGGATCAATAAAGTTTTCTAATCTGATCTACATTTACGAGATTAAAGTCGTAAATATACGAGTTCAAGACCAGCCTGCCCAAAAATGATGAAAGTAGAACTCTTAAAGCCTTTAAAGAATGAAGTCGTTGTCGAGCAGCAGCATCCCGTTCTCAAATGACAAACATGGAGCATCTTGTCCTAAAGGTTTCACTAATAAGGAAATAGGACACTTCCTTGTGTAGTCGGTGAAACCAGTTCAATGTTTCCCCTAGGTTTACAGCGTTGGGGGGGTTGGGACAAGCCGACACGACGACATAAGCAATTGAAGGAATCTTGGTGTTGATGTGTTACTTTTAATGACAGCTGTCCTTTTCTATCGGAAAGGTCCTTAAATGACTTCTTTCCCTGATTTCCGACTCTATTCACTATCCTATCTCTACAATAAAGGCACAAAAAGCCCCAAAACAAATCTTTCAATATAATGGTAGGGGAAACACTGCAGTTAGTTCAAGAGAAGTTTTCACTTCAACTTGCAAGACCTTGTTTATCTGGAAAATGATGAACAGGACCCAAACTGTTTCTGAACATGAGACACTTTAACAAGGCAGACAGATAACAGACACAAATAGTTGTGTCTTGCAAGTTCTTGCAAGTTGAAGTGGAAACTTCTCTTCAACTAACAGGGTTTTTTTTAACCGACTACACAAGGAAGTAGCCAATTTCCTTATTAGTGAAACCTTTAGGACAAGATGCTCCACGTTTGTCATTTGAGAACAGGATGCTGCTGCTCTCCTGATACTAAAATAACGACTTTATTCTTTAAAAAGGTTCTCCTCTCATCATTTCCGTGCCGGCTGGTCTCGAACATTCACAAAATTATTTTATAGTTAAAAAATTGACATGGCCCTAATCCTCCGTCGTAGGTTCAGGTTGTACGCGACGTGGAATGATAGACGTGTCTCCATGAGATATAGATGGTGGTGTTATTAGTTTGTCAACTTTACACAGGCAGTTTAGATCTTTGCAGTTCAGACACAAACTCCACTCTGATCTGTCAGGATCAGCTGAGCCAAGAACACATGATTCACTGATGTACGATGATGCTCCTGAAATGCATTCAGGCTGCTACGTGATGACTAAATCGCATTATGGGAAACTGGATCTCCACGCAGCAGGCACTGATGTTGCACTGAGAAACGCACACACCTCTGAACTCGTAATCGCGAGATTATTATCGCGTTAATTCAGAAAAAAACAGATGTATTTTTTCTCATGTGAATGCAATACTCTTACTTAACCTACCAATACACGTTTATTTCACTGTGCCAAAACTCTACCTGCACTGCTGTGTCAAGGTTCGAGAAAAACGAGGAGGACCCAGATGCAGATCTTACAAAAAATTATTTATTCAAAATAAAGATCAAAAGTCTACAACAAAACCCAACAGGAGAAAACAAGGAGCCACAAGGAGACACTAGTAAACTGACAATCGACATGAACTGACACAGAAGGGAAGAAACACAGAGACTAAATGGACATGGGGTAATCACACAGGTGAGACTAACGACACAGGTGAAGACAATCAGGGCAATCACGACAGGGATAAACACAATACCAGAAACACTGAGGACAATACAATATAAATCATGACACACAAGTCAAGAGTCTAACAAAACACACTAGAACACAGAGATACACGAGGATAAGAAATGGCTAAATAAAAACAGAAAACACTGAAGACAAAACTAGGGAACATTAACACACAAGGGAAACAAGCAACACTGGGATAAAACAGGGAAACTCAAATACAAAACCAAATCATGGCATGCTGTGTATTCACAGAGCAGTGCTGGTAGAGTTGTGACAGACACAACAGACATAACGTTATAGCCTCATGAGGATTGATTCCTCATTTTCACGACACGTTTAAAACAGATACAATCGCTGATCATATCTGTTGCCTGAAAACAAATAATTAAAAAAAGAACTGCCACTTCATCAACTTTACACTTTCAGTAGAGCTCTTTAATTGACTTTATTAGTCACTCCTGCAGATTCCCCGTTAAATTCATGACACTCTTAAACCTGCGTGTTTAAATCACACTCACCAACATATGTACTGTAGTCCCGGGAGTAATGGACAGGAGGTTAAATCTGCAGAGTCTGAAGTCCCACTGGTGGTTTATGTACGTGGCCAATCAGACTGTACCTGCTCCTGCGCGCCTCCCTGACAGACAGTTATGACTGGAAGGTATGTGTAGCGGTTTGTGCATGTGTGTGTGTGTGTTAACTCCTCAGTAAGGAAAGTAGTTATTGTCCAAAAAGTCGCTAGAAGTCGCTAAATGACGTCATCGCCTAATTTTCAGAATTGACTATTTGCGTGTGATTGTCATGGACGCTGTAGGAGAGAAGAATAACGTCATGGGAATAAAAAAAACACCCTTAATAGGTTTAGAACTACAAATGAACTTTCTTCTGTTGATTATTGTTTTTTTGTTTGTTTATTTTTGCCATTGAAATAGGCCATCACTTCTCAAAATATATATATTTATATATAAAATATATCAAACTGTATTTTGCACCTGTATATTTGCACACTTGACTGCTTTTTTTAATCATACTTCTTTATTTATCTATCATACTATGCACTGGTAGAGCTAGTATTTTGTACTGTTATTTATGAGTAACAGCTACTTGGACCATCCATACCACTTTTTTATCCTGGTATTGTGGGCTCATGTTTTTTGTATGGGTGGGATATGTATGTATATATGTGTTGTGTTGTGTGTTTGTATGTATGCTGGCTGCTGGAACACCTAAATTTCCCTGCTGGGATGAATAAAGTATATATTATCTTTATCTTATCTTAAAATAACTTACATTAACTTACAACATTACATAAATCCATTTTGTCCTGTATTGTTAAATGATAAAATATCAAATTTAATCACAATACTTATGTGGGGTGGAATTGCTAGCAAGCTAGATGTTTAACTACTCACCTTGTGCTCTCTGTGACATGAGTTGGCAACACTGTGGAGGAGCTGTCCACTTGTTTCACAGTTCACAATATCTTGCAAAAAAATCTTGCAGTATACATTCCCACACAGTGTGCAGTGTAAACATAGCATACTCAAGTCCAATGTGGGTTAATGTAGTCTGTGTTATACGCGAGTTGGGGGGTAGGACAGATGCAATGGAGGCAAAAGCAGGAGTCCCATGAGAGATGTGTGTTTATTTTTCATGAGGGAAAGACTGAGCTCTTTAGAGAGCCTAATCAGGTGTGGCATCAGAGCATGTTTGATCAGTTAAAAACTAGAGTGATCTGATTGATATACACTGTACAAATCTCTACAGGCGTATTTTGAACAGGCTACTCTAAGCAAGTCGATAAGATTGTCAGTGACCCATCCCATGTTCTCCATACAGAATATGAGCTGCTGGTTTAGAGTCCTATGTTGACTGAACAATTGGGAGCTAATACCTGCAATATAACCTGATCCTTCGTAATGAGGGAGGAGGAGCGAGGACTTGGGTGGGATGCCTGGGGGAAGATACTAGCTGCAGTGGCTCGACTGTCAAACCAGTTAGAAAACAACAGGTTGTGCTGGTTTACTCTGTGTCTCCCTCTTCTGTGTCGTTGCCCTTCTTCTCGCACACTGTGACGGGTCTTCATGCCTTTAGACCTCCCTGATGTTGTTTGTTATGCAGCCTCTGCTCCACCTTCCTTCTGCACTCCCCTTGCACGCGCTTCAGCTCTGCCAGGTCTTTTTGGACTTCTTTAAAGGCCTTCAACAAATTCATTCTTGAAAGTAATAGTCGAGGCATTTCTCTTCTCAAACAAATGACCATAAGCTGGTCAGGTAGCTGATGACACTACACTGTTGCAGCTGCCATTGAATTCATTCAAACATTTTCTGCAGCAACAGGTCTCAGTTTGAATATCAATAAATGTGAACTATTGCCCTTACCTCCGTGTAAACCCCCCCCCCCCAAAAACAGTCTTATTTGACATTTGTTAAATCCCGAGACACAAATTTAGGGATTACAATAACAAGCTGAGCAGGAAGACAGGTAAAGATCACCAGGTTGGGAAAGGATATGCTGGAGGCCAACAGTCAATGTCTACATCCTGTATTTGTGTTTAGGATATTAATGAGGACTGTGCAAACAAGGACAGAGGGAAATGAGCAACAATTGTTAAACTTAAAGGGAGGTTTCAGAGCACAGGGTGAGTGTCATGGCGGACAAGAAGGGGGGGGATGTAAGGTCCCTGGGTGATGGTCAAGTGCCAGAAATGCATTGTACTGTACACCTCTGCTTTACATCCATCGGCAACTGCTTTCCTGTTCCACAAGATTAAGATCCACAGACACACACTTATCCCAAACCAGTTCAAAAACATGTGTATGGGGACTCACCTTTCCCTTTGTCCCACAGAGACGTAAGAAACATCAAACTGCTCCTCATGATGTCAGGAACAACTCTGAATACTAATTAAGCTTTAGTAAAAAAGTCTGGAGTAGGGCTGGGTGATATGACCTCAAATCAATATCATGACTAATTAAACATTTGACCTTGATTACAATTAATAAACAATTATTTTGTTTTTCGCCCTCACAGTTCACTGACGAGGTCTCTACAGTAACTATGCTCAACTATTAAAGCTGGGATATGTTTTTTTAATGAAAGAGTGCATATTTTGTATGTACTTATGCACTTGATGTTTGGATGATTTATTAGTGTTGTTTATGTATTTATATGTCTCCAGCTGCAAACAAATGTCCTTGTGGGGACAATAAAGATACCTTTGACTTTGACCTTTTATCTGATGAACTATTTTGTTTTTCTGCAGTGTTGACACAGGCTCTGTTGGTAGAGTCGGTACTCTCAACTGAAAGGTCCAGCTCCTGCAGCAACATTGTCCTTGGGCGAGACTCTTAACCGGAAGTTGCTCCCTCTGCTTCATCAGTGACATATGAAGGTGCATGAATGGGATTAGTTACCTCTCATGGACTCTTTACTCAGCAGCCTCTACCATCAGGGTGTGAATGTGTAGGTGTGACCTGCGATAAAAGCGCTTTGAGTAGTCCGAAGGCTAGAAAAGCACTATACAAGCTCATGTCCGTTTAGCATTTATTAATCCAGGATCAATGAAGGATCCATTCTTTGTGGTCCAATTCATCCTGAAAATCATTTCATGTTTTGTAAAGCTCGACCTATAATCCAAGTCTGACACAACAATTATTAATGAAGAGCTTCAGAGTGTGTTCCACTGTCTTGTTCTGAAATATGGTGCTCTAACATTGCAGTGAGATGTCTTAATGATTCACATGACACATCAACAGACGCTCTATGAACACTTTATTGTAGTCGTAGTCTTTCATAGTACGCCATGATGGCTTTGGTCGCGCTCACTGAGAGTACAGTCACTCCCAGAAAGCCTATCGATCCAGCCACAACGAAGATGACCATCATGTGCTCCGCCCCTGCAAAGAGATGGACACCAGTCATTGGATGTAACTCTGAATGAACTGAACACAATACACCTCGAATTGAAAAGTCAGTCGACTCCGATAAGAATATCAACATTCAGATTAAATAGAATTGTAGGATTTTTTTTCCATCAGAAATTCAATACATTTAATCTTGTGAAAAAATTATCTTACCTGAAAAAAAGGCAGAAATCAGTAAAAAAGACCTTGAGCTGAAATGACTAAAAATCATACAACCTGAAGCATGCACATTGTTGTATACACAAGTCAAAATATAAAGTAAGAAATGTGTCACTTAAGATGAAGGGAAAGTGGGAAGCAGTCCCTGTTTATCCAGATTATAAAACTGAAGGTTTCTCCTTGATGTAGAAACTCACAGGATGATGGTGTCGTTCCTGTTTTCAGCTTCTTGTTGATCATCAGAGGTCCAGCAGACACAACAGCAGCCCGCCTACCCGTTCTGTCAACCTGACTCGCTGACCTCTTCCTGCGCTGCTCCCCGGTGCACTTCTACGACCAAAATCAGTTTGTTATGATCATTCGTTTCAAAACTTTACTCACTGTCAGTTTCAGGGCATTTACACATAAGGCACAATTGTTTAGGACCATAGCTGAGAAAGATGTGTTTATTTTATAGTTCTGCTGTTTTTTTTTTTTTAACTCTGCAGAAGCGCTGAGTAAAATCTCAATGACAGGAACCCAGCAGGCTTTCAAAACATAATCAGCTTTGAAACCGGGACTTTCAGGTTTTTAGTTATTTCTGCTTCACATGGTGTTCCTCTCTTCAGCACAGTCTAAAGTTTACAAAAGGACCTCCAATCATTTCAGTTACATCCTTGAAACTGAAGAATTTGGAAGCTGGGTTGTTACCGTCGCTCAGGACAGCAAAACATGGCTGACTGGAAACTTTTTGGGCAACATTATTTTGTGACCTTTTTGTATCTCTACATCATTGTAAATGAGGGAGACCTCAATGATTTAAATAAAGCTTTGAAATGAAATGAAAACATCAAGAGGCTTAGAAAGGTCGGTAGAAATGTACACTACCGCAGTGACTAGGAACTGCCATAAGGGGCAGCAGAGAATATGTGTTAGATGCAATAATTATTTTTAAAGAAAGGAATATTGATTGCCAATTTTTTTTGCATGCTCTTTTAAGTCCTTTTCTTGGTGCAATTCTTAACCTTGTTTTTCTGGCTGTATCAAAGAATCACTCCCATGATTCCCCGCCAGCCTCAACATTATCTTTTGTTAATGTTTTGATTGGGAGCCCCCTGGTGGAGGATTTACCTACAGTGCGTTTAAGTTGAACCTTTACATTTTTCAGCAGGACACTGATCCAATAGTTTGATGATTTACATGTTCTAACCACCCTTCAGTTTTACCTTTTCACAGTCCTCATCATGTCCACATATGTTGGCCAGGCAGTGAATGTAGATCGGCAGCCGCTGGGGCATGGTGAACACCTGAACAGAAAACCTGCTCTCCTGGGCCGCGCCGTTTACAGAGAGCCAGTGCAGTGTGTGGTCAACGGGACAGCTGGGTAGAAGAGAGGAGAGTGTTCAGTATCCAGTTGAAATGTTTTACTGGAACGTTGCATTCCCACGTTACAGGTTTCAAAAGGACACAATACTGGATACCTCTTTTGTTACCAACCTGCATATAGTTCTCATGCATAAAAACGTCACCTGACAAAACAATTG